ATTCAAAAATGTTATAATATACAGGGGGTTCCATTAAAAAAAAGGTAACTTTAGTGAATTTCTAATACTGAGCCACCCTGTATATAGACGAAACTATTTTAATAATATGCAGTATTATTGTACCTACCTTTTGAAAAAAAAATCAAGTCGATATCTCAATTAGGTAAAAAGTTATGGGACTTTAACGCGACCCTGGGTCACCCTGTATATGTTAACTCTAGATATGTGGTTCTGTATACAGGTTGGAGCACATACAGAGTGGCACCTGTGATAAACATTTTAGGAAAAACGGGACACTCTGTATAAATATAATTAATATTAAAATATGCAGCAAACTAGTATCTAATACTAACTAACTTGTGAAGAAGTTTTTTTGGTATCATCAACAGTAATAGATATATTGAGCTTTTAAATACTAATGTACCATCCTTTATAATATAACAAAGCTCGATAGATACGTTATTGTAGAAAATACTAAAAAATAATATGAGAAACTTTAAGCTCTTTAAACAAAAAATGAAATAATCCGCAAAATTGTTATTGCGATTTTCAAAGATTATCATCAAATCTATTAAATATGAAAAAAATTATATCGTGCGATTGCGGTGTTTATACAACGTTGTGTTAGAAGTTTGTATCAATTTGTTAGAAGGAAAAGTTTTTCGTTCGGGCGACTTACTGACACAAGACGCGAACAATGCTTCGCCCGTCAAGATGATAAATTCGCCCCGGCGAACAATTATCCCGCCATTTCGCGTGCTTTTTTAACTATAAAATTCCGAGTTCTTCTAATTATAACATGATTAATGGTTGTAGTGTTTAGGAATCGACTCGCCGGGTTGAAAAAAGGAAAGGGTTTATTAGCTCAATTTGTGCATTCTCGGCGTTAATTTTAGTTTAAATAGCTCGTGAAACGCGACTAACGATTCCGCTTTTGGATTTCCAGACAATAGAAAATGCATCGGAATGAAGATGGTTAATTCGATAAAGGGGGCCGCTCTTATAATAGAATATTTTAACGGAATTAATTCGATTAGAAAAGCTAATTGCGATTTTAATCTTTCTATTGCCGGCTAGAGCCGCCGTTGCTATTATCTCGACACATTTCGCGCAACGAAATCCTCTAATAAATATGTATATATGCAAGAACATAATACACCGGCAAATTACATTGTCTTTTAAAATGAATTTTCACCACGACCGAACGCGGATCTTCTGTATTAAACAAATACGCGCCTTACTACACGGACACATATGCGGTATACGGACTACATTGTTATTGAAATTGTATGTGCACCACTATGAGCTCGAAAATAGTTTCGGTTTAATACTGCTCTTTTCGTGAATTTTCATTTGAACTAATTTATTAAATAAAAAACTTTAATTTCTCACAAAGAGTTAATAAGATTTTAAAATAAAAAAAGGTATTAATACCAAAAGCTAGGTAAGACACAGGTGTATTTCATGAATGAACACGTCGACCCGATATACACGCTTCACGAATACATTCTACAGAAAATTGCTTCGTAAATTTGACATAATTCATAATAAAATAATCGAAATACCGCCATCATCGTCGGGCGTTCTTGCGTAAAGACATAACGAAATTTCAGTTCCCGAGCTCTTTGTGTAATTACCATATTTTCGGGGGTTTCAGATCCGACCAACTACATCTTCGGAATAATTTGAATTTCAGATATTCAGATGAGGACCCTTCCGCGCTTTCCTACAAATTTTAGCGCCGTCTGAGAGAAAAAAAATCGAGTCTATATACGGGGCGACTTCTTCGGCTCAAAAGAGCGCTCGTGGGGCGGCAAAAAGAAAACCGTCGACCTCAAATTAGTTCAATAAACGTCACGCGGCGAAAAGGAGCAGAACGAGAGGGCCCGGTAGTTAGGATATGATTTATAAGATCCTGAGGTGAGTGAATCTTTTGTTTTCCCACCTTTTACGTGACCGAGGCGAGATGTAACGCCGTAGCGAGGGTGTCGGGGAGCCGTTAATCATTCGAGGTGCCCGCTTTAATTTGCTAAGCCATAAACTAGATTGAGTGGTGAGCGTCGTTATGCATACCTTGGGACCTCTTTTGCTTCCTTGCACAATTTCGGTTTTAACGCTAGTTACCCCGATTTCGCGGCAAACTCCTTAATCTGGCAACTTACATAAAAATTTCACCTACATTTTAACACAATTTTATCACAACAAAATATGTATGTATACAAAATTAATACATATTTTATCATACCTACAAAAGGCAACATGGGAAATAGAAACGCGAAAGACTACAGTAAATTCAAAGAAACTCTTTGTTATTTTCCCGTTAATTAACGGAACAATGCCAGTACGTTATCAAAACGAAACAAATCCCCAGTTTGTCCCGCTGAATTAATGAAGATAATGCGAGTTATTACGTGTATAAATACGCGGAAAACGCCATCAACATAACTTCCACATTACACGAAAAATGCGTCCATCAAAATTGCATTATTAAGCGGCCGAGAAAGCGATATAAAATTAAGTGAAACGTGATTCGTATGGTTTCAACGTGTTACCTATGAGTGGCCGAATGGTTTCCTCGTTTCCTGCTGCAGTGACGCGAATTTTTATGAGCAAAAATCGGAGCGCTCCGCTCGAAATTGAGCCATCGTTATATCTACTACCTACTGCATAGAAAACACCATGATCCAAAATTTATACGCCTATACTTAACGAATTCGAAAAATTGCACCCGCATAATTCTTCATTACTGACGGTAAACGTTCGTTAAACGCGATAACTCAGCGAGCGTACGATATGAAATAGTAACGTCAATCGATTTAACTATATATTTTTAAATAAACTTCACCGAGATAGGGCGAGTGTAAAAATCTCGCTGCACATAAACCAGCATGATGTAGAACATCAGGTGTTTTCGAACAGAACGTTCTCCACTTAAAAACTATTTTACAACAACGAAAACTTCACGCCAGCTAAACTCCTGGTATAAATTTCCGCAAATTGGTTTCTTAAACGTAGGAAGGGTTTTCCAATGGACGACCGCTACATATATTTTGTAGCTTTATTGCCCTAAATAATGGTTGCGAATTAATGAAGCTTACTCGAGTACAGTTGGTGTTATGGCGAAATTTAATCAGCTCATTTTTACCCTGTTGCCACTTTATTAATTCAACAGTAGCCTTAAGGAAAACGTCAATTAGGTACTAAATCTTCAAATTCCACTCAATTCCACCCTTTTAAATGATTCTTCCGGGGCCGTTTTTTTAAAAGATCCGTTATCTACGCCTCCGGAAACCTATAAATTTCAATGGGATTAACGGAAATCGATCCTCACCATAAGCCCGCAGAAAAACGATTGTATCATCCGATGCAATTAAAACTCGCGCCAGTAAATATTAGGAGTAGTACAAAAAGAATTTGGTAATATTCGCTTTAAAGCACTTTTCCTCGACGTGTTTTCAGGCAACGAGAGAGATATTTTAGTTATCTCTACAGCATCACTGAGGATGAAATATAAATGGATCGTAAATTAGTTGTAGTGTTATATAGGTATATACCTCGATCCCAGATTAATTACAAAATAATTATCTATCGTATTTTCCTTTGGTTCTCTCATTCCGAGATGTCAGTCTCGAGTTAAGTTCTCCGTTCAACTATTACAGACACTTTAGGAATTTCAGAGGTAGAAAGAAGACTAACGTATAATGAGATAGAACTGTTTGTAATAGACATTATTAAAGTTAATTGAAATTAAATATTTATTGTAGAATGTTTATCTATTTGCAATCTAATTGTTGACTATTCATTACCCAAAATTTTCATGATTGCTTTTATAGCTTCTCTATCGAGCGGTTATTGAAAATTGTGAATAAAGGAAACATCACATATTTTCAGACTGTACTCTCAAAAAATTAAACAAAATGTATTCGATTTATCGATCTAACGGGATGATGTAAACTAAAATTAAACGTATTGAATATCGGTTTTCGGCTGTAAATGAAACGTGGTTGAAATTATTTATAACTGAAATAAAACGATTAAAAAATAATTCAGTTATTGAAACTATAATTTTCGCAGTCGGTCGGTCATAAACAACGATATCAATTTCAGGACGATGGTCCATATTTTAATTGAATTCAATTTTTCGAAAGAGGGATGGACATAAACAATAATTGAATGAGCGGACTGATTGGCTAAAATCATAGCGAAATTAAATACCTACCCGCAGGTTCGATAAGTAAAATTGATTTGTTCCGATTTATAACATACAGCATGTACTTTTACTACGTGCATTTTTTAACATTCTACAAATGTGTTATGGAAATTTTTCATAGCAAAAATGGCGCGTATAATTCCATAATTGTATTATTCACTTTAGAGTATAACTTCAGACAGGCAGGTATTTCGTTTTAATGACACCGACATGACAGATTCTGATTGATTTACCATTCGCCCATACACCTCAGTTTCAGTCGAATCGATTGCAGAAATATTTCAGTTTCACCGACAGCAATCATACTATATCAAACGAAATGAAATCTCGGAAATTTCACGGGGAGTAGGAGCCTTGATTGCGAAAGGTTATGTATATTTAAACGCTGCTTCAAATGCAGACGTGTCAAAATGCAAAGTCGATTTCTAGACGAGACGTCTAATAAAATAAAATCCCCGTTGATAAGCAAATTAAATAGCAATTCCCCAGCAAAGTCGATTATAGTTTCGCAATTTTCCGATTCGGAACCTTTGTAAGATTTTCCGCTCGATTTGTGGCCTTATTTATTCGACAACGGAACGTCTGAAGTGCATGGAAGTTCGCCGCATTGTAGGTAATAGATTCGGAATTATTTACTAATCTAGTACCCAAGTTATTTTCATTACGGAACTTTCTTGGTAAAAGAGGAGTTCGCGATGGCTGTTTTCCGCTTCAACTTCGACAATGTCTGTGAACTGGGTTAAACAAATGCGATTCTGACGGCTAACTTCGAACGAAAAATGCGACTTACATAGCACATGCAGCACGATCTGCTCGGAGATGTCTTCGCCCACGCCGTTGCTGGCCGTGCACTGGTATATCCCGGCCTGGTGGCGATCGACTCGATCGAGCGTGAGATACGGCGATACGGCGGTCTGCACCCCGTCCGGCAAGAGGTTGTTCTTCCGCGACCATGTCACCTTCGGCGTCGGATTTCCCGATGCTTTGCACTCCAATTTCACCGACGAGCCCTTTTTCACTTCCATGCGCCCGTTAGAGCTCACGTAGTGTATCCTCGGAGGTACTAAAACAAACAACCACAAATCTAAAATACTGATGTCTTATTCTATTGTAGATATCTAGTTATGTGAAAAATATGAGAATATCAATAAAACATTCAAATTTGCTCTTAGAAAGCTCCAAGAAACCCAAAAACCGACTCAATCAAATTTGAGAACCGCTTAAGTGAAACCTCCGGGGAAAACTTTTCCATTTTCGAGAGTCAAACGGCATTTAAAAGTGATAGACAGGCGGGAAAGATAAAAGAGAATGCCATATTATCGTGATGTATTAAACCCCAAAGGAGGTCCTGAAAGGGATCCTCCGAATATCTCGTTGCGAAATCGGGATAAGTTTGTGTCAAACTTGTTACGGCTGTACTTATTTCGTTGCCGTGGAACTTGTGTATGCTAAGTAGGAAGTTAATATCGCGCAATTAAGCGAACAGGATGGGGAATTGTTTTAAATTGGCGTCGGAGTGATCTAATTTAGAATTTATAATGCTATTAAATGCGCTAAAAATTAACGAAAAATTCGATGAACGAGCGGAGAAAGTATTTAGAGCAGAAAAGAACCGACGCTACATCGTTATTCATTTTAGACAGACTCTAAGGAAATTTATGCACTCTTTTAAATCTCCAGTGAGATATTAACTGCCATTTTATCGCGGTTACTGGCCTAAAAAGGAAGATTTAAAGGTTTAATAGAGATTCTCGTGACATAAAGTTTTAATTAAAAAAATACAAAAAAAAATTGAAATCTATATGAAAAAATTGAAATATACGCTCGTATAGTAGAGAAATAATGCAATATTTATGCACAATTTAGTTTCCATAAAAAATATATTGTATATACCTATAAAATTTAATATAAACATAAAAAAATTGTTCATGGATTATAAAACAATTTTAGGTGCACCTATTCCGAACAATGCGATATTTCATGGACTACCGATTTTTCGATCGAGAACTGTGGAGGAAGATCGGTCAAACAATATCACACCTCAACGGGCATTGTCAAAGCCCCTAAAGCTGTCTTTTGATATTTCACCAGCGATGGAATATATACTTTATTACCTGCCTCGTCCTAGGAGTCCGCGGCCTTTTCTCCGAGCGTTTTTCCATGGAATTTTCGATGACAGATAGACGTATCGGAATGTCAAATGTATCGTGAAATTATTAATCGATTTTCGCAGCAAAACTGGATCTATACTAAGGAGCGAAACTAGAACGAGGCTATGGAAACGAATCCCGGTTTAAAAATGTTGAAATGAAAATTTTTCCACCAGATTTCCACTCGGGGATATTTTAGAAACCTCGAGGTTTCACGTTTAATTGAAATAAGCACTTTTGTACGCCGATGGTGAAAAGCACACTCTTTTATGCACTTAATAATTCCACAACTGAAATTAAATGCCAGGAGAAAGAGTATTAAATTCTCCGAACAAGGCGATTTCCTGCGCAGAAATATTTGATTTCTAATATTTCCTTTTTGAATACTGGTTTTGTATGACTTGATAGCATTTGTATAGTACCTATGGAAAATCTGATATAATATCGTAACGTAATAAATATTTTATGCAATTCATTCTACCATTTATTTGTTGTTCGAAAGTGGCGCAAGTCAAGCCTCTATAGCTATCTTAGTTATACTGTAGGTATAAAAATCACTTAAAATTTTGGTGGAAGAGTTGAATAATAAAAAACTAACACTAATAAATAACAAAATTGCCAATTAAGTATTTTTGTAAGAGCGTAAAAGTAAATAAAGTATTTTTGGAACAGGATAAAGGAAAGAAAATTGGTAAACATATTAGTCATTCGAGTCGGCTTGTACATGTTAAAATGGCAGAAAATAAATCATAACGTAATGACCGTGGTTCGACGATGAAAACTTATAAATTTCTCGCTAAACAATAAGCTCGCAACCCTATTGCACACATTACGATGCGATATCAGCGGTTTTGCGTGACTTAAATGTTTCATATCGCCGTGATGGTCCGACCGGCGAAGAAAAATTGCTAATATACTCGTGAAGAATTAAATACAGTATGTCGTAACGATAAATTCCGGCCACAAAGCGAAATACTCCTTGACCGAGTACGAACACAATACGTAAGCTTTTATATGACATATTCGCCCATAAAGATGCCCATATTTTCGCTCATGTGCGCAAAATGAAAATAATAAAGTTGGTTATTTATCGGCAATACCAATTGCTTATTTACCCTCGTGAGCTCTCCGGCTTATAATAAGGACAGGGAAAGCTTCCAGAAAATATAAAAGGTAGTTTCAGATGATATATGCCGACAAACGATGTTGCATAATTTTTCTTTACTACACAAATAATAATTCAACCGACCATTGGTGTAGTGATTTCATGAAAAGGTCCTTAAATTTAGTTTCGCTGAAATAGAAAAGGTTCTTGCACATCCTGCTCCGCTTTGGGGAGTTGTTGTATTTTTTCTTCCATACAGTGTATCGCGAATTGCGAGAGATAGCAATATTTTTCGCTCAAGGGACCAATGAGATAAACCTAGGACCCTTCGAGGTGATAAAATTAGGGCGAGCGGAGCTTTATTAGAGGTCTGAAGATCCGTCCGCAGACCTTTTTCCGTTCCTGATAGCGTTAAGAATTTTCCCTCTTTAACCGGACGAGGGTATAAACAAAACCATTGTGTATACGTGAGTTTTCGAATTAACATTTCCACATCGCCGGGTTAATTCGAAAAAAATTCGACCATAATTCATTCGAAGCGTATAAGGTGGAGATACATCATAATAAGAGCAACCCATTTAACTCAAAAACGAAGATAAGAGCGTTACCTCTATTGTAAGTATGGATCCATTTAGACTCGTTAACGTTTTTTCTTTTTTCGTTCGCTGTACTTTGAACGCAAGACATCGATTTTCCATTAAAACTTACCGAGTATTTCGACGGTGTGGGTAATTTCTCTCGGCTCGAGTGTCCCTATCTGGCAGATGTAGTCCCCCGCGTCCTGCGGGCCCACTTCCTTAATCTCCAAGCTGTAGCCGTGCACCAGGTTGACTCGCGTATCTGGCGTTACCTTCACATTACCCGCCGATAGCACTGCTATACCCTTTTTCCATACAATCATATAAGGACCTGCAATGCAAATACAAAAAAAATATTAGTTACTATATCGCACGAATTTATGTGTGCGTTTCGTTGCTAGTGAATGAACTACAAGCGTGAATAATTAATTAGTTATTGGTAGTTTTAATTCATTTAGTGTTTGGGCGTTTTGGGTATCAGTATTGCCACTCAAATAAATCACAAGTATGCGTGTTAGTGCTCCATATTCTCTATGAAAGGCACCACAGGGAATTCGGTCATTATTCAGGTAAAAAGGTTATGTATACCAGGCGATTTCGTATTCCACGAATTCCAGATAATACGTTCGAGCATGATATCCCGAAAGGAGATCGAAAAAAATGTTAAACCCGTGAAAAATTAATTCGATAATATTGTGCAAGAATATAAGCGACAAATTAATAAGTTGTTTTCGATGTCGGTGCGGTGGTAGCAGCTTTTGTGCGGCTTTATTAATGAAACGAATTGGAATTGCAGCTTTGAGAGCGAGCTAATAATAGAACAGCGGCCGTTAAGTTTCGTGTTCATGTCTGGAAAGCTGCAATTTAAATTATAAATAAGGGAAATACAATGGTTGAATGTATTGTTCAACGATTTTTTTGTCATTATACAGAATAGAGGTTTTTCGATGCAATTTGAATGAATACAGGAAAACATATTTCTGCGAAATTTTAATTAAAAAAATTTCGCATTGATGAGGCAGATAAAAAATTTATTAACAATACAATATACATTGTGAGGACCACACACCTCGGTTTGTGACTTAAAATCCCTTTAAAAGAGTTCAATTAGCCCTATTATTGGGATTATTCGGGCAATAATTAGTGGAAAAAAGTACGTGGAAAGAGAGCGCCGCGGCGCCCGCACATCGGGCGATAAATTAACGTGAAATAGAGTTAGAGCGAATAAATTTGGAGTCGGGAAAATTGTTGGCGCAAAATCGAGCATCAGATGTTTTTCGTAGTGATTCGATTAAATCCGAATTACCGCGCTCGAAGTCGAATTTTTTTTCCTTGACCGCGGCCGTAAAGACGTCAGACCGGAGTTGCCGGCATTAACGAGTCCGGGAGTTCGCGCGAAGAAGCGCGCGAAAATAAAACCGAAATTTATGTGATTTTCGAACGCTTTGTTAAAATTAGAGTGGGTTTTTTAGGTCGATTTTTCGTCGCTAGTGGCTCCGGCTTGCACCTGATGTAATAGGGAGATTTGTTAAGCGGCCTGCAGGATAATTAATTAGGTACCGAACATCGATCAGTCTGGCAACTTCCTGCAGGGGAGCGAAGTCGAGCCATCGGATTATTATCTCACTAAAACCCGTAGAACGGAACTTTATATTTTATTCACGACGTTCCTATAAGTTATTTCCAATCCTACATCACCCGGAACACAGTACGCTCTTAATTACACCGCTTTGTACGCGTCGAATCGTCCTGCACATGCAAATGGAAATCAAATCAAGTACATTAAATCGAACGGCGCATTCATTTAAAAACTTCATCCCAAAGTTCCAAATAAAATTATAATTCTCCATTAAACGAAGTGTTTTCTCCCTAAAACATTTCTCCGGTGAACGCTCGTTCTTTTTTTTTGTTTTTCCCTCCTCTAATCCCAAATCGCCTCTTAATATGCAGCAAACGCAATCGTACACTTTTTCTTTCGCTAGGGACATTTAAATCACTTCGACGTCCATTACTACGATTTCTCCTTCTCTTATTATTTCCCGGATTCGATGTGCGTTAAATTGGCCGATCGAAATTAGCACTTAACATTTATTTCTTTCCATTTAGTCCTAGTCCGGAAGGATAATGTACTTCCAGTGAATTCAATCAACTATGCTATACTTACCTATATTAAAGTAACTGTTAACTATTGTATTCGTATTACTATTATTTTCATGTCAATTGCCAGTTGAATTAGTAGTAGAGTGGAAAGTGCTTTTGCCATAAATTCCTGCTTATAGGCGGGTTATAAGGGGAAGATATAAATTTGGGGCGGCTGGGAGAACTCCGTAAAAATTTGAAAAATCGCGGAGCCACTCTCACGCGAACATCTATATCAAATTAAACAGCATCCTTCTCGAATTGCATGATGAATGTTTTAGAGATGTTTCCGAGTATAGAAGAAAAAAGCGTTTTCGTGTATTCCCGTTCGTTTTATTGCATTTTATTCGGTTCGTTATTTTTATTTTACTTTAGATTTCGCCGTCTTGCACGATATACCACTCCGGCAAACATCGTGCAAATTGCTACATTAAAACGGAGTGTGTAGAGTGTTCCTCTTGAATACTTTTAATGGCCCATTTTCTGTCTTAATATCGTCGCTGTTAACATTAAGAGCCCTTTCGCATCTTTTCTAATACGAACATATTTGTTATACATTACACTACTTTCGACATTTGACAGTTAAAATATATTTATTCTAATCAACGTTACCAGATCTAGTACAAATTTCATTTGATCTATAATCATTTTTAAATAAGTAATCTTTCTAAGAAAAAATATATCGTGTAGAAATTTAATCGATAACTATTCTGATAAGTTCGGTGCACGATTTTCCTGGAATGATTTTCCTCGATTCGTACTGTAAAGAGGCGAAGGAATATAAAAGTGAGGACAGCAAAAGATAGATTTAAATGTGTAAAATACGGGTTTAAAGTGAACCGTAAAATCGGTCGGTGTGTATGCGAGGGGTCGGGCGAAAATGGAGTTAAGAAGTTGATTTATGTATTGACTTTCGAGATCGTACTTTTTCCGAAACTCCTACCAGAAATGACGAATTTAACGATTGGATTTCGCCCGACTTTACTGGGCTGTGCAGTTTATTATTAACGTCAGTTGCAGGCGACGAATTTATTCATGCAAATGCAAATGTCCGTATTATTCATTCATGCTCCGTTGCTGTATTGTGCAATGGCATTCTTAGTGGACAGCCAGAAAAATGGTGATTTGGACGTCGATTGAATGTCCACTTATATAAAGGGATTTTATCAGTGCCCTGATGTCAATCTAACATCTCGGAGAAATATTCCCGATTCCACTAAATACGTTATTCCTAATTATGTTTATATAGGACCAAGAATAACACGGACCGAAATTCGATTGTGTCTGTAGGACTCAATTATTGGCGCAAAACGTGCAAAATCGGCTCTCGTCGAGTTTCAGAAGCGCTTCAATACCAATCGCTTATTAATAACAATAAGTATCTTAATAGAAGTGGACATAATTAGTTTTTTTTAATTACCAAAATTCGTAAAGGAGTAGGTATAATCCAGAAACCGTAAGAGATTAAAGTCAATAATATCACCTGCCGTTATTCCTGCACTTATAATAAAGTTTCGGCTTGCCGAATTCAAATTAGTTCCGGAGTTTATAATTAAAAAAGTTTTGCTTATTCTAAAGGACGTGCAGTGGATTAATAAATAATTCGGTTTGTCGACTTGCTCATTTTTTCTCCGGCATAATGCCATTTTACGCCCAAAATGCTAAATGAATTTAGCGATTTTATGGGCGAGGTAACCCGAATTAAGCCGTCAACGACATTATAAAAAAAAACTCTATTTAAATGTAACAAATATTTCGAAACAACGTAGCAAATGCTCACCGGCGGAAATGATTTTTAATTTAGTTTGGACATTATCTGTCGTTCAATGATAAAAATACAGTCGTTTGACCCGCGGGGGAAAAAGATATTTCGCTAGACCAAAACCTAAGTTATTTTATACCGAATGAGATCGAAACCGAAGCTCTTATATAGCCGGATTTCGCGGATTTGGGATTTTATATTTACGGCGCACGAGGCGAATAGCGTTCGAGCAACAAATAAATTCCTTAAAGGGCTCTTCGAAATTATAACCCGCCGAAATTTTAGAGTCGAAAATCACGGTTACAAAATCATTCGTAATAAATCCGAGAGTCCCATATTCGCCGAAGTTTAAACCAACTGGAAGTTTAATCTATTTCCCGAAAGTATTGCGCGAGATGAAAGGACCTCTTTTCAATTGAAGCTACTCCTCGATTAAGTGATCGAAGCCATCTAGACTATTCAACGACTAATCTTATACAAGGATTTTTGTCAATTACCGAAGTTCGGAAGGCTCCAATTCGAGTCGAGGTGGAGCGCAACTACTCGAACTCCATTCGATTCGATAACTTTTTCCTTCGACAAGAAGACCAAAAATTGCACCTAATAAACGCCAGGAATTCTCGCACCGACAGAAAAGGTAAAAATAAATATTTTTTAAACACAATTAATCAAGCGCAATGGAATAAAACAATGCATTCTATTTGTTCTAAAATTTAATTAACTACTTCTTTAGAATATTGATAGGATTTTGCATAAAGAATACGACTTCTTGTCGGGTAAAGAGCGCTTCTGTCATGCTCTGTTATAAATGCTTGGTAAGTAAGAAGAGCGAATAAAACAGAAATCGCTGTATTAATTTTGGTAGTCAGTGTTTTTTTTGGCGTAAACGAGGTAAATTTATGAAGTTCATTATTTCGGCGAACAAGTCCAAACAAGTCGCATGTGGGGGGGAACGTAGACAAGAAGCCGAAACGCCGCGTCCAATTAAACGGATGAGTTATGCTCATAATCTAGATTAAAACAGTCTCTTTGAGCGGTTTATTTCGAAAACCAGATAAAATTGCTTGTTTCAATTTAGCCCGGAATTGTGAACTTTTTTCCGGCCGCGCGCGAATATTTTATCCGGTTAAAGTCGGGTGACAAATGGCCGTAGACTCGGCGAATCGCATTGTTTAGGAACAATTTTTATATTAAAGTTTTTTTCTTGCGGCAAAGATAAATTGCTTTAATGAGCAAAAATTTGTACGAAACGACCTCAACATCTATCCCTTAATTTATTATTTATTGTACGTATGTTCATGTAACGCAACGATTCCTGTCCAGAATAAAGAAACGATTTATTCAACATGCAATCATTCTTACTCCAAAGTCTCAATTTCCGAGGATATATACGATTTAACTGATGACAAATGACCTTTCGCCGGATTCGCAAAATGATTGCGATAGTTTTGAAATAAATTTTGGCGCGGTAAAAAAATACGAAAAACTCCGATCGGAGGTAATAAAGTACGGAAACCTTTCCGAACTTCTTTAACGTCAAGTGCACACCCGCCCTAGTGTCGGCAATATGCGACAGAACAAAGACCGTTCCTCGTCATAAAATTATAATTTTATAAATATAAATCATTCGCTTTTTTTTGTATTCTATTTTATTTCGCTTCTTCCACTTACCATAAACTCCTCGACCGGGTGCGTATAATTCATAATTTTTTTCATCGCCGGATGAATCTCTAGATATCCATTATATTAAAAATATCGTGTGGACCAAAAAATTTCTCTTCCGAGTTGCCCTATTTAATTCTTTAAAGAAGTACTTACCGGGATTAGAGACATCGCATGGTAGCACAACAGTATCCTTATCGGTGACTTTAAACACCTGGCTGGACGTCAGGAATGTCGGCAGAGCAGGTGGGTCCACTTTGATGTTGGCCTGCAGGAATCCTGCGGGAAAAAAAGCGCGAGATAATCAACTATGCTCGGCGTGAATAAAAGTCGTTGTTTCAATTTCAGGTGAAACGGAATAAAACAGGAGCCGGGGAGCGGATAATAAATTATTACCGACCACCGACAATAATAAATTTGCGCGGGATATCCTGCTCAAAATTCGACGAGACGCCTCAAAGTTTTTCGGGCAAAGGTGCAAGTGCGCCTAAATTTTTAACTCGCTTCATGTTTATGATCGCGGGCGCCTCGCAACACGTTACCAGGAATACAGATGGCGGCGCGAAAGGCGGCTATAAGCATCATCGCGACCGCCTAACGATCCTTTTAAAAACTTTATTGGGCGTTATTTACTCTTAAACTCCCGCTCAAATATATTTTCCTACCGAAAACAGAAACGCGTTCGAAGAAAACTCTGCACCTAGTTTAGGTTATATAGTTCGAGGACATCTTATCACTCGACGGGAGGACTCTATATCGAGCGCCTGGAGGGCCCTTTCGACGACGAAGTCCTGTAATTCCCGGAAAGCTCGCCTCGCCTACCCTGACCACTAATATCACCAGAGCTTCGCCGAATTAATGACTTACTTCACCCTCGGGAGGATCTACCGCATACAATTCACCCGTTTGACACACTTCCAATACAACTCATTAACAAAACAAAATCATACACGATTCGATACCAACTGTTGGAATATCGCAATAGTTCATTCCCAAATCTATTTGAACTACCGTATTTGCGAATAGTAATGAAATATTGCGATGTTGCATTAGTAGAATTGTCGAGATTTTTGGGGCAAAAGTGTTCGATGTAATTTGGATAGAGTAATCATTAATTGCAATTTTACCGGGCGAGCGCCTGTATTTATTGGAGCGAAAAATCTCGCAATAAAGAGGGGATCAAAACAAGCGATTTTATCTGCACTCCGCTCACGCGCTCGATTTGTCAATTCCGTACAACCGGCGAAATTGAACTTATTATTTCTGCCTTCTTTATCGGCTTTCCTATATCCTCGTCCGAGCCGGTGTCGGATCGACCTCGTAAATTCGCAATAAAAATAAAAATTCTAACGAGTTACATTCGCGACTATAATAACGGAATTAACAAGCTTTTCTGGAGTTACAAAGGCGTAATGGAAAAACGACACCGTGATAAAATTTGCGCGATGGCAAAAAAGCTGGAAATCCGATACAGTTTCGAACAATGGAACAATTTGCACAAGGAATTCCAAACTAGGCGATAATTACGAGCTAGTTATGTAGGTATGAACAAAAAAATCAAAACGAGTTTCAGTTTACTTTTACAAATTGGCTGAGATTTGTTTTATTTTTATCTTTACCTGTTATCATTTACCAGCACTTCATAATAATAAACTACTTCAATATGTACAGAGATAGAACAGAGTGTAGAACTTAAATTAACAATAGTTACACCAAAGGAAACTAGAAAATTAATTAATATTTTTCTCTTGCAAATTTTTTTAATAAAATTCCAAATAATTAAAGAAGTTCATTTTCTTTCATCGTTTTTTTTCGCAAGTTTGAGAAATTCGGTTTCTCGTCTAAAATCTGAAAGCAATTAATCTAGTTCGGGTTCGTCCCTCCTTCCCTTCCATCGCCGAATTTATCACTTATAAATCCCCGACGGCGGAGTCCTCGATTCAAATGAATCAATTACTCAAAATCGGCCGACTCGACTTTTTTAATTTATTACTTTTTTTTGTGATTATAATTGCGGTTAATTAAAAGGAGAAATAAAAAGCTTAATCAAAATGTAAATGCACGGCGGCCCGGCCGGATTTCTTTATCAGTTCGTTTCTCTAATTCCTCGCCTCCTTTATGCAAAACCCCTGATTTTATTCAAAACAAAAATAAATCGGAGTTGCAGCCGGGACCGCAGGGGGTGGGCCGGCCGCTTCAATTAAACCTGATTAATTAATTAGCGTGGAATATTAAAATTTCCTTTGTCTTCCTATTAACTTCGCTGTGTAAAAATTTGTCACGTATATGTTAAACTCAAATGGCGTTTTAATTTCTTAGTTTAAAAAAATTCCCCCAATTTATTTTTACTCTCCCGAAGGGTTCTATTAATCACCCTGAGTCTGATGATTATATAGGATGACATTACACTGATTAATTAACACGGCTCTCCATAATTTGTCAAAGAGGTTTTTCATCGTCCAATTAACTCCGAAAAAAATTATTTTCATACCGAACATCTTGAATGTTCGTCGGATTTTCCGCTGTAAAATTTGTATCGCAGTTTAGGTAAATCCAAATTGAACGAGTTAGTCTTTTATCAGCACGGGAAAGTTTTGTACAAAGCCATTCGTTACACTCGCATTCGGATGAGAATATACCTTGTTCTTACGGAGATATATAGATATATTTCTTGCATTAATCTACAGGAGCATCTTGCATCTTCTACGTGAATTATGGAGATCCGGCGCGAAAAGGAGAATATGCATTCGGCGAGTAACAAATCGCAATGTGGTGGAAAATTCGCGGCAGAAAACCCTTTAAATTATCGTTTTCCCGCTTACGCTTTCGTCTTAATTTAAATACGAGTACAATTTCGAATTTCGCATCTGGCGCAAAAATTATTCTTATTGTCCGATACGCAAGGCATTTATTTACTTTCCTATACGGCGAATTTATCGGAAAATCAATGACATAATAAAACTCCTTTTATACAGACACGTTTCACGTTATACCTACATTTCGAACTGATGAAGATAAATGGGATCGTTTACATTGTCATACACCTTTTAGTGCCGGAAGGTGAACTTCGAAATATTTCTCTCCATTTTATTTTATTCCGCATCGACATCATGCACGATGGAAATATTTACATAAATATTCAACTAATAAATATTTAACTAAGTAGCTGACTTAGACTGATCTCATCCAATATTTTAAATCAAATTTATTATTATAATGTGGCGAAAGAAAAATCTTTGCAATTTTTATCTTCTAAACAGACATTCTTATATGACATATTTCAGTTTTATGGGATAAATATAGAGGTTCCAAATTGTAATGTAATAACTTTGTCTGGTCTATGGACAATGGCCGGTGCACTTGCAGTTGATTATGAAAGTGACGAGACCAATTCGTGAATTTTCGAAATAAATACAGTGATACATTAAGCGTGCTTTTCGTTTATCGCTTGAATTTATTGCGCGGGGACTCGAATGGAATGGCTGGTTAAATTATTTATGTGGCCGAAGCACGATAGTAATAGTCACGTTAGCGTTTTTTTTAACTACGCTAGTTCTTATGTTAATTTATTATGAAAAATACCATTCTATTGTATCATGTGTTAATGTTTTTAATCATCCGTGTGTACTTTTTTCCGTGCTCCCCCGGAGCGAAGTTATCGCCTTGTCTTCGTTACACTTGTGCTTCTAATAGCACGCACATTTGCATTCATTTCAAAGGCAGAAATGGCAAATACGGAGATATTTAAATTTATTAACGCTTAGTAGGTACATAAGAATTTTTTTTAGTAGATAAAAGTCCAGTAAATCAAGGTGTAAAAACATTCGCTGCAAAACCGACGAATTTCTGAATTTCCAAGCTAAAAATCGACCACATCAGCCTTCGAAGCGAGTCGTCGAGGGTCCAGCCGCACGGCCATAATTTCATTTGGCTAATGAAGCCAAGCCGGTAAATACGTTATTATATGCAAATGGCGTTCCTCTGAGCTGAATAATTTCGACTTCATCTGCCGAGAAGGCCGTTACCGGTCTCTCGCCCTCGGTGCATCTAATCCAGCTAAGTAATTTAAAGAAAACCGGATGACGCGACGGTCTATCGAACGCGCTTCGAATTAACCTTCCCTTTAGGGCGCAAAACACGCGGAATTATGTATTATTACCACCCAGTGCTTGTATATATCATATTGTCGTTCACTAACGGTCCGAGGAATTATGAATTGTCTTATATAACTCTTGTTGAAGCTGCATCATGGCCGGTGCAATTCCCGTTTTTCTTCTGCCTCGCGTAATTCCGTTACGCCGGAGTATCTGCTAACAAAAACTGTCAGGCTCACTGTAGATTACACGTGGACGACAACAGAGAAAACAAGTTTAAAAACCCACAAAATAGTAGGTGAATTTTTCACTGGGTAATAAAAAATATGGAGGAAATATGCAACAATTATTTAACACACCAATTTCGATTGATTTGTTCAGTATACCATATTATTAAAAAAGAGAAGTATAATGCAAATAAACATTACTAAATGTACGCTATTCTACTAGATATTCTAAATTTGTGATTATTTTTATCACAAAATTAACACAGCAAGAAGATGATGCTGGTAAGTAGTAGCATTTTGCTCGTTTGCATAAAGTTGAAATGAGATAAAGCGAAGCGAGTGTTGTATAAGCGGGCACTTTTATCCCGTTTCCAACTAAAACTATTTCTTCCGCTATTCTATCATTAGTTTTCGCTCTAAATTACACAATGTACCTAACTGAAGTGCTTATTTTATGGCCGTGTTTGCTCTGACGAGCGAACTGCTCTCGCCCATTTAGAGCAAGAAGATAGTAGGAAAACAATCTTTTAGAATGAAAATTATTTTTTGTATTCATTACAATAATTATCTAAACAAATTTGATAATATAGGGTCTTCATACACCTACCATTAGTCGTAATTAAAATGTTTTGATAAGATGATGAAATTCTGCACTGCGTGCAGTTTACAACGTAAAAAGGAGAATTTAAAATGTAGATAAGGATTTATTTCAATTTTCACCGCCCGGATGTAAATCTTTTAGGCGAAGTTTATTCTTTGCGAAGGACAAACTAGGGCAATAAAATGTATATTTCCATCGTAGAAATTATATTTATTCTGGTGCATTTCGCAATCCTCGAATTTACGAACACACGGCTGTAATTTCTCCATATTCTCTCCCAGCATTTCGGATTAAATTCTTCGCAATCAAGTTTATTAAATTTTATAAACACCGCTCAGGTTCTTTTCATTATTTGCA